ACGGGGTTGAAGTGTGAGGATCACAAATACTCAATCAGCCGTACGCAGTGTTGGAAGCCAGGCCCGTCAGCCGACAACACAACGAACTGGACGCTGGATTGGCAAGAGCCATATTCGTCCTGTGCAACTGAACTGAACTGAATTTTGGGGCACATTCTGGACAAAGGCATATTGAATAGTCAAGTTGACTCAGCATGTCCGAACGCTATAGCTTCTCGCTCACTACTTTCAGGTGGGTTCACTATAATCATACGTAATCAGATGTAGTCCCTCAGGAAAATTGGTTCAAATTGAGTACGCCCTGAAGGCAGTGGAAGCCGGGGCACCATCTGTTGGCATTCGCGCTACAAATGGTGTTGTTCTTGCTGTTGAGAAAAAGTTCACTTCAAAGTTGATTGACGAAACAACAATTAAGAAGATCGAACCAATAACAGCTAGTATAGGAATGGTCTACAGCGGATTGTCTCCCGATTATCGTGTGCTCGTCAAACAGGCAAGGAAGTCGGCGCAGGCGTATCAAATGGCCTATGGCGAACAAATTTCTCCAGAACAGCTAGTTGTACGGACGGCAGCTGTCATGCAGGAATACACTCAGTCTGGGTGAGTAACGTGATCTTTCTTGGCCGTACGTAGTTGGTGCTTCATTGGGAATGTGCTAACCACGTTCAATAGCGTATTCATGAAAGTTATTGTAGCAGTGAGACACTTGGGGCTCATTGCAAAAAGTAGAATCGCTGTGGCTTGATCCCTAATCCCTGTCACATGGCTTAACCTGACAAATATAGGCGACTGGTGGGTGACAATAACTCCGGAATTAAGTACAACTTGCTGCAGACGCATGATACACTAAGTGTGAACCAGCTGGTCACATTTTCGGCAACATTTAGCTCACAACACTGCCTATTGTTAAGTTCGCGGCGTTCCTCTTGACTGAATCAAGTTGTATAGGCCTTCGCAAGTTATTGTGATGAAGATACGTATATTTATATATATCCACACGTAACCAAGTACTGAATGGTCGATAACCTCCGAAGGCCTCAATATGGTCGGGGGTGGGCGGTGGCTGGTCACCCTTCCTTTACACCTCGCGAAATGCTACCATACTACCTT